CATCTATTGAAGAATCGGCAGTGAAAAACGGTTTAAAACTCAACCAACAGATAAATCGACTACAAAAAATCTTGATCCGTCCAGAGAGAACAAGAATCGTACTAAAGGTACCGTATATTGGAGCTTGTACATATTTGCAGCTGTTCAAAAATATTTTCTGTAATCGTGGAAATGACCTCTCAATTTGTTCACAAGATCACACATGTAGGTTGTAATTTGTCTCAAAAGTGAATCGTGAAGTCAACCGCTCATACCAGGCCTTCGACAATATCTCACCACTGTTCCACAGATTCTCAATGTTCTTACGATAGTATGTAAAGGATGAAAGAAGCGATGACACAAAATCGTGGTCCAGAAACAAACATGATAGTCTTACCAAAGCAAGTGGTTTTATGTTTCATGCATATTGCAAATCGTTTGATGCGACAGGATATTGGTTCACTTAGAACGTCTTTAACTGAGTCATCATCTGGTTTACTGAATACATCCTTCTCGAGTTCACAAGAAGCCACTAAACGAAGCAACATGGATAAGAGTCTTTTGAAGTAACAGCCAGTTGTTTGATTCTATAAGCTTAGGAGCCAGTGAAATCTAATTCGTAATGATCTTAAATTGCTAAGATCACGGGTAACGTTGCATACTGCATTAATATTACTTAGGTTAATCTTTTATTGAAATCCAACTCTTCTGAGATAGAAGGTGACTAACTTATTGCATCTTGTCAATCTCTGTTTCGATTTTTCTCGTCAGCCACTGTAGAAGTAGATTTCAGTTACTGATGATTTATTCTTATGTTTGAGTCTAACCAGTTGTTGCTTTATTCCGATATTATGAAGTAGCCAAGGAAGCACTGTCCTACTACTAAGTGCATTCTATCCATTTGGTAGTAATCTGAGAAGTTTACTGACCTATTGAATGCCGTGAACAACTCTAACTTACAAAACGTCAAATTATGCTATCACTGGTAATACTGATTGGTGACAGTCCTCTGATATTCATCTTATCAATTTGACTTTAGTGTATTACGTCAACCCGTGAGCATGAACATTTGTGCTTGGTTATGCCTTATTTAGGACTACATAACATATAATCTATTGGCTGCAAAACACAGCGGTTTTGTTATCAATGAAAATAAGGTGGATAGAGAAATGACCTTTGACTGATAACAACAATACCAATGTACATGGATAAGTGGCCAAAATGAGGCAGGACTATCAGATTCTGATTAAACTATTGATTTGTTAGTGCCTAGTAATCGATTCATACAAATATTCAAGTACTGCATGAGGTTATTTGTGATTTCATTATCTTAGTGATGACGCTGCTAGCTGTAACACTGATAAAAACCCTATTGGGAGAATTGCTTCTCTTGAAACTCGAAGTACTCCTTACAAACCAGTACCGACGAACACTTTACCTAGGTTTAAGGATCTCGATAGTCAACAGTTTTATTCCTAAAATCGACTAACAATTCCTAAAAGGTCACTGAATAAGGAATGGAGATTTCCATTGCCATCAAGTTAATATCTTGAGTCCATCGTGAAAACTCCTATACCTCATAAATATATTTGAACCTAAGCAAGTAGATAATCCTTTGTTCCAAAATAAGAGATGTGGTTTATAAATGTACGCTGAATGACGAAATTGAAATTTATTATTGTTACTATTTTTCAGGTTTCTTTCAACAGTTATGATATAGTTCGAAGTAATTTACAGGAGAATCAGACTGATAACTCCATTTTATCGTTGAAAGAACGTTGTTTATTTGGAATCAATGAAGACGATGCTGACAATACAAACATTCACACATTCATGAGAAAAAAGTGGAGACAGAATTTGAATATCTGATTGATGAGTTTGAAAGTTAAACAAAAGGGTGAGTGATTCATTTTGAATTGTGTGCGATATTCTAATGCATGAAGTTAAATTTTACAACTAGAAGCCTCAGTGATGTTAATAGTTTTGTTAGATAGTATCAGCTATACTCTGTCGATTTCATGGTATATAGAGAATAATAACTGAGTGAATGTGTAGTTTTTACACCTCTTCCATACTTGTGTGTAAAAGAGGACCAGATCGAAGAATCTGAGTGGAAATCCTGCTCAAATGAAAAATTTATCTACAATTGGTCATCGACACTTGAATCTCCTCTCACTTACTATCAGACACCACGACTGCATTCACTCTGTCCAATCTTCAAAGGCACATCAGCAATGTTTGATTGCTTGATTGCAGGTTTAACGTCATGACAGTGGTTAGTCATACTTTTCACTGGAGTTATAGGATAAATAATTTAACCGTATAAAATAGAATTAAACTAAGAAAGCAGTTATAAAATTGAATATTTCTTGATCTAAAAGAGCGTCAAATTTATTCCATTTTCTACTGTTTGAAAGTTAGAATTGTTGTGATGTGTAGTGTGCCAGATCTGAATGAGATACATTTTAACGGCCACAGCCCAAACTGATTAAAAATGAAATCTATTTCTTGACCAATTATGTGCTCAGGTACATTGAGCTGACTACCAAAAGGAATGAATCGCATATCTTGAATTCCACTGCTATCCACACTCCTTATATTGCATATTCTAAGGGCACCCAGAAAAGCTGATTTATACATCAGTTGACTCGAAAACATGGAAATTCAATTTGTCAGAATAAAATTACAAAATTGAGACCTTTCCAAGTGAGTTCTGGGGATCTAACATCCCTAAAATCTTGCATCTTAATATCGAAATCCAAATATGCACACGAACCTAATACCTTTCACAGTAAATATTGAACACTTTTTCGACTAAGCTCCTTTGTAGAGATAGCTACTAATTTATCGAGAGAAGATATTATTTTTATCTGATCATATGTGTAAGTCCCGGTGTGATCCGGATTCAACCAGCTGACGATTCTCGAACAAAAGTAGACTCGCTTCTTCAACTCTACTGTCCATCTTTATGAACGAAGACTCTATCTGTGGGATTTACTCACAGAATTCATGTAGCAAATAGGGCTAATCAATCGCAGTCCATCACATTAAGGACAGGAAGATTTCAACCTTTAAAAGTGAAGTACAATTCATTTTTGCAAAATCATATTTAACCGAACTGCCAGAACACCTTAAGTAATCACCTCAATCCGCAGTGAGGTTGCAGATGGATTTTACTGAAGCGCTCTTTAAACTAGGATGAATGAAATAGCTGTTCAGTATGTAATTTATGTGTGAAAAAATTCGAATGCTTCACTTCTACTTGAAGTTTTATTATGATGACTATTGTTCGAAAGAACAATAAGTACCTTACAAACAAAACCATTTAGTTGGGAGAACGAAACTTATTTCGAACTTATTGACTAGTTATTTTATTACTTAATGTTTTCAATAATCCATTTTGAACGTGATCACCGTATTATGAAAATCGTGGGTGATTTGTTCAGCTTTCACCATCTGCATATATACATCTACGTATAAACCTCTTCCTAATTCTCGCTACTGTTGTGAGAAGGCGGGCAACATCACTGAATATGATGCCTTTACTATTAGCGTTCTCCAATCAACCAGTCTTATATAGCAGGGCCTAAAGAAAAAATATGTTTCAGACAACATTGCTCAGTTGATTCATCACAACAGGTAAGTCTGAGCACCATGTTAATGTTGCAGCTACAGACCGGCCTCAACATCGTTGCACATAAACTATACATTCGATACTGTTATTTTTGCTAGAAAAACAAGCGAAATGCACAAACACTGAACCATTCGAATCACAGTGTGATGCAGTGTTGGCTGCGTTTGCTTTGTTGAAATACATGAATTCGCCTTAGCACTGATCTGATTCGATAACTCGTCTGCAGTGAAATGATTATTTTGAGATCCATAGACATCGTGCAGTTGCTTCCAGTCATCATTGAAATCAGTGTAGAGATATCAGTGCGTGATATTATGTCACTATTTGCTGGAATCGTTCAACAAGGTCTGGTGTGATAATCCTGATAAAGGATTATAAACCCAAGTTATTATATCTAGAAATCAATGGACGTGATAAAGATGAATCAACTCAAATTTCCATGCATCATGAATGCATATATTACTTATTATTGTAACTGTACTGATTTGTTCATTTCCCTAGTCATATTCTTGGTTCTCTTGTACATTGCAATCACGAATGCAATAATTACCATAATCGAGAAACTGCTATTCTTGTTACGCTTATCTTGATGGACAATTGGTCAGTTGTAAATTTATACCACGTCATCCATTTAGTATGTTAAGTGAGTGACCGATTATTGGGAATTATTGCGACTATTAGCCGAGACAACTACATCAACTAGTGTGTTTTCTATCAAATAAGTGGTAGAATAAATAGAGCTAAGCAATCGTGTAACTAGAAATCATCATCAAAATATTATCGTTAAACTGTGAGCACTAAGTTCTAAATGTCACTGCAAATAATTGTTTTTCGCAAGTCTCATATTGTTTGTTAATTGTGCATCTTTAACTGTATGCTTGTCCACTCATTCATGTATGTCTTATAGTGAATGGATTCAACAAGTATACAGGTTTGTCCTACTACCTTTCGCTTACCTTTTCCTATTTGGCAGTGCTTTAGCAGCTTATCAGTGTTAGAACAGTGAAATTTTATGTCAGCTATTTTCGGATGATTGGCGCTCAAACCTCATGGGCAAATATAAGATAAAGAAACACATGAATGGAGATTGCAATCAGAATAAACGTGCAGACAACGACAGATTTAAGATCACTTACAACTAATCAAGATCCAGGTCAACATGACAAGTTACAAGTCACACCTGGAGAAACTCGAATACTTCACTTCTTCTACCTGCGATTTGTGCTGATGATGTTGTCTTCAGAAGAGAACAATGAAAGCTCAACAACCAAAACATCCAGCTCACAGAGAATAAAACTCCTGCACAATAAGCCAACTATGAGTTATTGAATTCACAGTTATTTCATTATGAGAGAAGGATTATTTCAAATTACTTTTTCAACTGGATGGAAGATATTGTCATACAATCAGCTGACTTGTTTGAATCAATCCATCCGAATGTAACAATAAAAAAAATACTCAACTCCACTGGTCACATTAGAAATGTTTATTGTTAGAAAATAAGTGCAGAACTACACTACAACAGTTACAGTTTACAAAATCATGGACATGTATAAATAAATGTTGTCAGACAAACATACAAACACACACACACACAGACACGCATCGATGGTCGCTGTGTTTCTTTAAAGAATACATTTATCCACAGGATTCATTTCCGAACCACGAGGACATTGATATGTTTTCGAAAATTCCTCACTATGTTTCAGAATTTCATTCAAACTGAAAACAAAGGAAAATTAAACTGAAAAATGAATAATCCATAATGAGATAATATGATGCACTGGTGTAATATTTCATCTATAATCATACTACAAGAATGCTCACTGCAACAGAGTTAACGTCAATGATTGTAAACTAAACATATTGATGTGTATTGATCGATGCTCACAACTACAAGTACACTCTTTTCTCTATGGTTACCGATAGTGGATATTTGTCGTATTGACCTTACTACATTGTAAACATGAAAAGATATTATGTATGCTAGTGGTGATCAGTATTTCTCAGTCGACAGTTGGTCATCCGTATTTCAAACGAAAAACATGATTACATTTTTAAATAAACTAATAGATTTACAAAAGGGACTACCTGAATTTATATCTTTCATTTCGTGAAAATGACTTGTACAGAATGAGATCATGAGAGTAGCCATCACACGTTGTCTTCAGTTATAAAAAGAATAGACAAAATTGAAGAGAATCATGAAAATTCAACTGATGCATAAAAACAATATTTCGGTAAAATTAAACAATGAATTTTCAATTGTTTGTAGAGACTGAACTGTGTGTAGTGACGATAAAATCGAGAAAGGCTGCCTCACACCACATTGATTTACATATTAAGATTGATGATAAGTAGAATGAAGACACACATGTCAAATAACTACTCAAATGTTATACAATTCACAAAACCAGACTATAAATTAACTAAACCACATTGAGTTCTCCATGATGTTGCATTTAATATGTTGATGAGCTAACATGCTATGTATGAAGAACTTGAAATTCTATGTATATCTGCCTATTGATAGCAAAAACTGTTCACCATCCTAAAGTTGAAATCGGCTTTTCACCTCAAATTTCAGGTGGTAATATTTTACAGACCAATAACAATTCCATTCACTATGACATCGGAATTCAATATACAAATGTCTAACTTGTAGCTACTTGTAATTCAAATGTTTGAATTATTTCAAGGTCATGTATGATGCAAGAAGTTGGTTCTTCAGTTAAGGATACTTCTTTCGGTTAACTAATTCTTAATACTGTGTAATTACAAATAGAAATGATAATTTACAGTGTACTCGTTAATGATGATAACAACAATGATGTTTTATTAATGATGGATTTGCTGCACATGGTAAACGGTGATTTTCCGTCCTACCATTTTCTCCGTTCGTTTTTCAAGCTGACAACTGTCTTCTCTGTGTTTACACGCTCTTTCTGATTACAGTTGACATCAACTGCAACAGTCCAAGTGTTTATCAACAGTTGTGGACGCAAAATACTCAGTATCCGTTGGCCAGACACCATCAGAAAGAACCTATTATGGAGGAGAGAACAAACCAGATTCCAACGTAGGATGAATTTAGGGAGAGGAGGTAGAAGCAGATAGGCCAAACACGAAGAAAAGCGCCTAACCACGTCACAAGACAAGCCCTCACCTGGAACCGTCAAGTTATAAAGAAAGGAGGAAGGTCAAAGAACACATTACGCCGAGAAACAGAGAAAGATATGAAGTGAATGTAACCAAAATTGGACAGAACTGGAAATGGAAGCTCAGGACAGAGTTGGTCTGAGAAAACTGTTCGGCGGCCTATGTTGTACTGGCAGGCAACAGGCGTAAATAAGTAAATAAGTAAGTAAGTAAGTAGTCAACTGATCATTATTGATTATAATCCACTGTATTTTATCACATGAATGAACTCGGAGAGAGTTTTGTTCAAATGAAATTCATTCTGTGTGCATTACTTACTCTAGCGATTGCTTCAAAAAACGATTTCTGTTCATCCAAACTATCATCAGAATTCTTCATGATATCTTTCTTGTATGCCTACAAAATAGATCAAGCAACGAACAGTAAAGAATACTTCATCTAAATAGCTGTTCTAAAACATTCCCTAATCTTGAATAAGCCCTCATCGAAATATTGTTATGCAATACATAATACATTGAAACCATTATGTAAGCAATAAGAATGTTCTGTTGATGAAGTACGAAAGGTTCTGCTGTTCGAAAAACATACAAATATATATATATATATATATATATATATATATATATATATATATATATATATATATTGTGGTGGAGTTTGGTTCTCTGAGCTGGACAAAGAACACTAGGGAATTTTCAGAAGCTTGGTCAATCAGGTCAATCAGCAATCAACAAACACATCGACATTGACCCAATTTATCAACCAATCAGGAAAATCATAGGCGACATAGGATCAAGAAACAGATCAAAATGGGGATATAATCAAAACAAAATGCGAACAACGACAGGTTGAAGGTCAACAGCAACCGATCAAGATCGAAGTTAGCAGAACAAGCTACAGGTCAGTTGTGAAGAAATTCGAATGCTTCACTTCTATCTGAAGTTTGTGCTGATGATGTTGTTCACAAGAACAATGAAAGCTCCACAACCAAAACATCCAGCTCAGAGAACCAAACACCACCACCACCACCACCACCACAATCATCCAACTGAGCTACAAATCTTCTCCACCATCTCAATATACATGAGTTTTATTCATATTGTGATTATTGCAGGCAGCAGATATATTGAATTATATTTGGTGGTCACATGACATCAATCTTTCATTGAACATAAAACAACCACATTACAGTGTGCATTGCATTGTTCTAGAACTCAAAATCTAGTCAAATATTCAGTGGAAGATTCCATTGAAATTACTAGTCAACTGCGTATGTCTTGCGTATGTACGAATAAAGACTGTCCATCACTCAACAAGTGTTGCTACCTTCGTTTGACTTGATGATTTTGATTAAATAAGACAATAAAATGTAAATAGCCTTTGCTAAAATTCACTTACTGAAAATGATAACATAAGACCATTGATATTAGCTGCCAGTTGTTGCAAAATCTGTTTAATGTGAAAAATATTGAGACAACATAAAATATTCAATTAATATTTGTGAAAATATATCAAGCAATTTAGGTTAAACAATAAATTATGTTGTGCCGTTTGAAACGTGATATAAATCGGTTGAATCGGTCTGTTTTGAAATGCACATTTCGAAAAATGAACACTGATATCACAAATGTTATTTTGTGCAGTACGCTTTATTTAAGTATCAAACTTTGTGACGTTAGCTTGACGATTCCAGTGTTAATAATATTATCAGAATACGCAAGAACAACTGTGGAAAACAGACCTGGAACACTGTCAGCTGCCTTCACTCACAACTGAGTTTCAACCAAATTCACGCATTGATTGAATAACATTTCATGTTTTCTATCTATCTAGAAATTTCTTGTATGTTATTGACACCAATGTTCAATAGTGATGTTGACAAATTCCCTGGATTGGTCAACAACTACTTATCTCCTATTCACAAACCATGTCCAGATGACAAACGTTGTCTCATTTACATAAGATATATTATTCTTTGAATAAATATCATCTACTATATCCACCTGTCATTTCAACATTAACACGTTAAGAACAAGTTTCACAATTGTAATACTAAAAAATGTGAAATAATCAAACTATGCAAGGACAAAACGTTCTCTTAACAGATCACTTACTTGCTTATCATCCGTTCGATTGTCATCTCGTCTTGATAAACAGCACATTTGATTTTCGATCGATGATGGATTTCCTGGCTCACATGTTAACCTAGCATCTAACTGACCATCACTAAAAACTGTAATGCAAACGCCGTTAAGCCAATAATTATTTTTCAGAAATAAACATAAAGTGAGTGTTCTAATTCATAATTGCTCTACAGGTTACAATTGCACAACATGTATTCGTACTTATTAGTAAAAAGTTAAGTGAGGAGGATATTTCCTTATCAGTTAGTTTTCAAAGCTCCACCCACTCATTAATATCACACTTGTTGATTCATTTTCCACAGTTTACAATAGTGTGAAACAAACAGAACCGTTGATTTGAAGCAGTACAAGTTAGACTGTATTAATCTACGAAATCATATTCATTATGTTTGCATTTCATTCCACACATTCAATTAGGGTTTTTCAGCATTGATTGGTAAACTGATCAGAATAAGCATTTTCAATTCGCACTTTGATCTACACTAATCCAATTTTACTTGAATGTTTACGACAAGGAATACGTGTAATTCATACGGCCTAATATTCGATTGATCGACTAAAGTTGATCTTCACACAACTACACGACAATGAAAAATTTGCACTCGTACTGTTTAGGAAAATAACACTGATATTAGCATTTAAATCACTATCGACTATATTCTATAAAGTAACACATATTTCCGTTTAGATAGATTCGGTAGCTAAACGGAAACGCCTCACATACACACAATCAACACGATTTTATTAGTTATGTGTTAACCGAAACCAGATAAGAATATCTCGACTGTCCGTAATTTATTCAGAATACTCAGTTTTGTTAATAATAAGATGAAGCAAGATAAAATACCATAAACGCTACCGTTAGATATTAGGTGACGACCAATAAGCCAACCGAGAATTCCATATTCTTCAGATACTGAATGTGATGCATTCAGAAATGATGGGTGCAATAACACAGCAGCCAAATAAATTTCAGGGTATTGCACAACTGCAGGCTTCTCTATTGCACCACTGAAGAAAATATTGATAAATAGAGAACAAACATTAATGGACGTAGTAAAGTTAATGATTATTCCCGTTTTAAACAATCAGTGAAAAGGAAATGTGCCTTATTTGAATAATTTTGATGTGAGTCCATTCACTGACGATGTTACACATATCACTAAATCTTTTTGAAAACCTTTACATAAGATTAACAATCAGAGAATATTTGAATTACATAACGCAGAAGTTGGTTCAACATTTTGTTATGAAACTGATTATCATTAGCTGAACGACAACTCATGATCAGCACTAACCGTACTCTAGATAATTAGTGACGTTAAACACTTCTATTCATTTCAGTGTGTTCTATAAATAATGTTCGATAGAGCATTGGTGACAGTCCAAAAATCAACGCTTTTGTTTTTAATTTCATCAAACCTTCTTCTTAAATGAGAAGAGAACATCATGATAGAACACAAAATAACATGAATTATGTAATTCAGTTTAATGCTATTTTTAAAATTAACGTTTTGAATTTTACTGGTGGCCGTATATGTCCTATTAACACAAGGTTCATTCTTCAAGATGAATGAAGAAATTAGAAACACACACAACACACACACACACAACTTACTAGTCGCTTATCAATGCGAGTTTACGCATTGATTGAATGTAGTTGGCCTTATGAGAATGGTAAACATTCATGAAGTAGTTGTCCTTAGACAATTCATTCTAGAAACGGAATGAAATGATTTGATAAAATATTTTCATAATTAAAAATAGGTTCGATGAAAGGAATAGTTAGGCACTTTATCACTTAAATATTTGCATCAATTCATTTTCATTACCACACATGAGGCAGTCAGTCGGCTGTAATCCCGATGTGAATAAATGAACTGACAGAAATACTTACTTTTGCTAATCATCACAGTGTCAGAAGTGCATTCAGTAAGATATCGCAGTCAATTTCTGACTAATTTGCTAAATTGATGATATTTATAACTATGCTTATCACTATTGTTAGTAGTAGTAGCATTAGTTTTCGTTTGGCAATCCCCACTTGACAGAGTGCTATTTGATCCAGTCTTATATAAGCTTTTCAATCACCACATTCCTTACAATTATTTAGACATCTAATCTTTTATAATTATTCTCTAGTCCATTGTATCAAATCATGAATTCGAAATGGCCGACTCGTTCATATCGATTTACTGAATCTATCGTCAAATAAACTTAATCAGGCAACACTTGAATGCATACATATAAATTTGTTATTCATAATTCACAGACATACCAGACATACCATTCACAGTCATACCATGAACCGATTGACTTGATACCTAAATTTCGATATCTTTACAAAATGAATCAACTCGTTATCAAATTCACACACATCTTTAGGTTGCCGATTAATAAATGCTTATGAAACTTACTTCAATTGGTAACTCATATTCGATAAACACATGGAACTTATTTAGGTTTTCTGAAGTAAATTGAATGTTCATAACCTAAATAATGCATCAGGTTAATGCTTATATAATTTAACAAAATTAGACAAACCGATTCAATTGCTCTACTTCTGTCCTTTTTATTGGGCCATGATTTTGATGACAGTGACTGACTCAATGTTTGCTTCAATTCACTAGTCATTTTAGCAACCTGTTCAACATAAACAAAGAAATTGGTCAAAGAGACACTGTTAAAATGACATAATTCACCAATAGTAATTTGAATATTATTACACAAATCTTCATATTCATCATCAACATCATCATCATAAAATGAATAAAACGAAGACAGAATACATTTCGATTGTTTGCCAGAAATCAACATATTACTGAATTAATTGTAGGTAGTGCATATGTTGAAAAAGTAGAATTTCAATGCTTCACCTTTTATCATCCTTTCGTTTTATAAATCGAATGAAATTCTGCTTGAAAGCTGTACCATAGATGCTTTCAATAGTGTAGTGTAAATCACAGCTCAGTGTACTGCTTCAACATAATCTTAAATTTTAAGCACTGTTTTATCAAATATTCAACTCACTTTCTTTCCTGTTTCCTCATTGATACTCAAATATTCAACAGGTCGTTCAAAAATCCATCGGAAATTTTCTCTCACTTCGTCAATGCAACTTCCTGACTGTTGATCTGAATATTTCATTGATAAACAATAATCTTTCATATTAACCGAATGAAGTAATTTAAAAAGAAAAGGCATCATACTGTCTTTGACTAAAACTAATCAAATATTTAGTAAGAAAAAGCCTTCAATGCATTATCGGTTGATGTTAGATATAGGCATCCTCATTTCAACATTGCATGAGCATAACCCTTTCCATTACCGTATGCTCATTCGTAGCACTAAAAATGGTAGTGAATGGTATTGAATGAAAAGTAGGAGATATGACTGACCAATATTTATCATGCCTTTGTCGCGACTTAATAAGATCCAACTGATAACATTTTAGACAACTCTCTTTTCAGTAATGAACACAAAATGACTTTTATTGGAAATATGGTTGCAGTGTGTTCACTTTGGTGTTCTATCATTGCAAATAAACTGATCAGTCTAGACAAAATCGAAAAGTGGTACTTACGATTATCAACAGGATAAAACTGTCCGAAATGTTTATTCAACGTGCTTCTCATGTTGTACAAAAAACTGATCATTATCAAATTGTGGACGTTTCTACAAAAATGTTTTTGATAAAACCACGTGTTCAATCAACACACACACAATCAGTATTGGATTTTTAAAGAAATATCTTATTCATAAATTCTAAAAATCTGTATCTATCAACTATGAGCATTAGAAAGATGCAATATACAACACGAAAAACCATTACTTTCTTTGTGATATTCATCCATTTACATCGATATGAAATAGATTGACATGATGATTATTTGTAGTCTCTTTCTTTATAATTTTACGTGACAACTATAATGATTTCATCAACTAGCGTGTATCGAATGATCATACATCGTTCATTCAGTACAATTGATTTATTCAGACCAGTGGGTATAGAAGCTGAGAAGAGAAACTTGTTCGGACATTGTAGAATGTTTAATTCACCAGCAGATTTCCTATGAACACAACAGCACAATAGTGCATGTCTATGATTATACACCAAATCAAATCCAACATTTACTTCTTATCTGAACAGGATTTCTAAAACTAATCATTTCATTTTGTTACTGAACTGGACTACTTCACTTTCATTAGAAACATAACAATCTTAATTATCAAAAAGAATAAATGACATTCAATAATCGAATCATGTTTACACTAAATATTATTTCCGATCATTTTCTGATGTTGACTTTAAAATGCTGAAGTGTATGAGTGAAGGTGAGGGTGAGATGTTGTGAATCGTAGGGAAAATTCACAAAATGAGAAATAACTGAATGCAAGTTTGCTTGTGTATGTGTAACGATGTGGTGTTGTGAATAGGTGAGCCTTAAAATATAACAACATGATGTCTAGTTGAATAAATTCGTTTGTAAAAGCATAAGAACTAAATTGTGAAGAATTACATTCTGCCTTGATATTCTTTCATAGCCTCCATAAATTGTCCACAAGCATATTCCAAGGAATGCCGACCTCTGACAAAAACGCTACGAATTGTCGCTCCTTCACCCCTCATTTTATCAAATACAGTATCCAGAAAATCGTCCCAATCGATCTAGTCAAAGTAGATAAGTTGAAATAAAAATTTGTTTACACAGATTACAAAATGTATTCATATATGAAATTGACTTTTCCATGTAAGTTCGACATCATTCAGCTTATCATGATCAACTAATCCAAATTGGAATTTCTCTGTCACAATGCATATACCACTTTTCTCAGTTTCCTCATCTTACTTTACAGGCAATCAGGTAATTCTGATGCAATAATGACGAGAACGATCACAGGATGATATCTCAAATTGGCGTTAAAATTTCCGTTGTCTTCAATAAATCGGAAACCAACACAGACATGCAATTCATTTGATGATTTATTTGTATTGATTTTTTACACAGAAACTTAGTGAAGCAGTGGTATTGACCTACTTCTATTAGCTATAAGTTTTGTTTTATTAAACAGTGCTAAAAACAGGCGGTCTTTCGTATATTGTGTGTATGCTTTGCCTTGATATGTTTTTTTTTATAAATCAATGTGAAGCATCCGATGTAAATGATTGATTCGTGCTTTGCTGCTATCGAACTGTTTCAGATGTGTGAAAAGCTTCTACAACTCCATTCTTTTAAGTAAAATCAACTCGAACGCACTTCAGTTCAGTTGCTTTTTGACTGCATTTGTATATAGGACCGCTCCCGCAAAAGAAATAAACTTCGAGTGAAATCCAATCGTGTTATCTATGAATTCTATCCAGTCATGTTGTGCCAGTTCATTCAAGCATCCAACTAACATAAACAGTTTGACTAAAAATACTAGTGGATTTTGCTCATGTCATTCTACTCATTGACAGATTTCCATAAAGCACAAACAATGAGCATAACAGAAAAATGTAGATTAACTGAAGCGACAAAATTTTATATCTTAAGTAGAAAGTGAACTTTATAATTTTGATAAGATAACTGATGAGGTTAGGTTTCTACACCGAATGAGGTTCTTCAACTTTTCTACAGAGGTTCTGGTCAAAGTATGTAGAAGCTTTGAAAAAGACTCCATCGATCCGCCTCATTTATATACAACTGAAGGTATTCAAAAACATCGTGTCAAGTTTATTAGCAGCTTACGAAGACTAAACTTGTCTGGTAGCACTAGGAATTGAATGTGAATTTTATATTGTAAGAACATCTGTCAATAGGATGAATGCAGAAACTCAGCTCGTGAATTTTTAACATCATTTATCTTAACTAAAACTAAGATATGAAGAAAACTAAAGATGAATAAATTCCTGACTCCTTGATATCACTTTTCGGTGTAAGACATCTGTAATACAACATTCACAATTTCTATCCATAGATCATGTAGAATTTTCACGGAATGAAAATATGATCAACCTTATTGACCTGACAGAGAGTTCTTCGTTCTAATCACAAACAAATGCATGCATTGAAATATGTTCAGTCTGTTTAGAACTTGACTCTGTCAGTGATCAATTAACTAGTTTCAGGATGTTTGTTATGATTTTAGAAACTTTTCGCATTTATTGTAGGACTAAACAATTCTATCAATCAACGTTGTAAGCAAAGGAAAAAACTGAATTCTTCGTAGTATTTTGAACAAAATATAACAAAGTACGCTGAATAAGCATACTACTTCAATATTTATACAAGTCTCAACTTACTATAGGACAGATTCCCAAAAATTTTTCGTCTGAGATTTCTTCACTATCCCCATAATCTGATGTCGTCTGAAAAAACGGCAATATGTTGACATCATTATCACAGTCAGCCATTCAATGCGTGATTTTACATAAAAACTAAGATCGTTGTTTAGAATCGTTAATGGTTTCCAAACTACAGTGGATTTGATGTTTCATGCCCTTTGGTGTGAACTAGTCACCTAACCAGCTGACAATACTCACACTCATCTATTCGTCTCACTTTATAGTTTACATTTTATCATCTTGTGACATAACACAGATTTCATTAACTACTTAACATTTTCCTTAAATCGATTATGAACACTGATACATATGGATTTAAATATCATTTGGATGAAAATGAAATAGTTTTGTAGTTAATTTTCTATTCATCAAATAAATTTACTGTTTCATGCACAGAAAGCCACAAAAATATTTGTTCATCGTCAATTTGAACATTACATGTTCATGTATTTGACCTACTTATATGGAATTCTGTGAATAGTTTCATGTGAATGCTAACTATATTATTCTGTTATTCACTAGTTAAGGTATAATTTGATGATACTTAATTGTATGACAATCAGTGTTTCAATTATGTCGCATATTTACTATATTAATGTGTTTGTACTGTGACATAAATGTGAATTCATTTCATGTTACTTACATTTTTAATTTTCGAATACAATTCAAAAACACCATTCAGCATATTTTCACTAATCTGATGGGCTCCGACATTTTGCAAATATTCGAAAATTCGTTTTTTCTTGCTTTCGTCTGATTCATCATCCTTTTGTGGATGAAAAAAATGGAAGAGTATAAACTTTGATTTAATTAAATGTTTTCTATACTCTAGACATAGTTATGTCTCATGATTGTGAATAGAAGATTGATTACTAAAAGTATCTTTCCAAACCAGGAAGGAGAGCATTAACAATGGCTGACATCGCTTGCTACTTATCCACTAAACGCAAATGCTGACACAATCATGTCCGCACTCATCGTTCATGGACAGCAGCTCATAGATGCATTTCATATAAAGAATGATGTTAGATAGGACAAACTACTCTAGTCTTTTTCTTCTTGCTAACTGGTGTGTGCAATAATCTACATCACAGGTAAAACAAGGAATACATAGAAAAGATGCTGCCAGTTGGGTGACTTTCACTATTGCAGTTGACCTAGCTCATCTGCCGGATGCACAGTAATAAGCCTAGGTGCAGTCAACCAGTGTTGCATCGCTCTCATCATTCACAAGTAAAAACGTCAGACACTGAAATGAAACACAGACACCATCAACCAAATTAAACTTGACGATAAGTCTGTGAAACCGTTGGAAGGCTCCACCGATCTGCTCAGCACCACTGATAAACGAGAGGAAACTGAATCAGATGTCAAGATGTAGATTGGTGAGTGAAGGAGAATTTTCTATAATTGAAGAGAGTTTGGAAATCATAAGATTCACCAATCAACAATGAAGTAAAAACTGTCAACATTAATGCCACACCAGTTTGGTTGTACAGAGATGAGACTTGGAGAACAATCATAACTATCGCCTGAAAGATACAGTCACTCATGAAAAAACTTCAAACGCAATATAATCCAGATCCATTGGTCAGAGACTCTTGGAAACGATATAATATTTGGGTGAACAGTTCGCCTGTCATTTGTGGAGCGACTGAGGAAAACATACTGCAGGTGGATTGGACACTAAGTAAGTGATGAAAATGTGGTACAAAAAGCATGAGCTTCAGTGAAATCTTCATGACAGAAGCAATAGATGTACATCAAACCTATTGATTTTGCAGGTTGGTGTGAAGGGGTAGACATTTA